CCTCCGTCGTCCTGCTCCAGGCGTGGACTCCGGAGAAATGTCATTGGTTAGCCGGCTCTCTGACATAGCAGAAAACTTCTTCCTGTTCTTCTCCGAGGAGCGGTTTGCCTTCTTCTGCTGCACTCCCCAATCCTGAGAGAATAGTGGATCAACATTTACAAACCATAAATGATAGCACAGTTTAATAAAGTTTTGCTAAAGCTTTATTGTTTAATCAACTGAGCATTAGGTCAGTGGTTCTCAAACTTTTTTGGTCGCGCCCCCCTTTAAACCTATAAAATAATCTGGCACCCCCTCCCCCGAATCCCCTTCCCACCTCAGACTACCAAATAATTTCACTAAACATTATGTAAAATTTATGCTTTTTTAATTAAAAAAACCTACAGGGAAAAAACACCTGCATCACTTGAAACACTGAAAAATAGCATAGAGAGAATAACTTTATTTTTTTTGTGGGTTTCATGCTGTCTGCTAAGGCATAGGACACACACAGTCTGTCCTCCTCACCAATGACATTAAACACCGTGTCTACACCGGACGCGAGCTGCAAAATATTATTCTCACTTATACTATACTGCAAACTATTCTACCTCAAACTTCCCAGCATGTAGATTTTACATTTACAGTTAAAAGAGTTGAAGGCTAATGATGTTGACAACCATGCTGTAGATTGTTCATAACCTAACGTTTCACTTCTGCAGATTGCATTTAGGGTTTAAAATGTATAAAAGTTGTGTTAATTCGTGAAGATTATCTTGATGAACAAAATATGTAAGACTCATGACCTTTTATTGGTCACAGAGCTTATTTTCAGCAATACTCCAAAAGCCAACAGAAAAAAAAACCTATTGGCTTTTTGTTGAGGGAACCAGAGTGATGCTAACTTCCGGGTTGGCCTACAAACATACTTCATCCTTGCCACACTCTAATGATCCTGTTACGCAGAAGTATCAGTGCGACTGAATCATACCATATTGTTGAGTCGGTCATCTAAGCTTCCATTGGAGATGCTCCAGTTGTGCAGCTCCTGCTCATCTGTGCCATCTTCAAATGGTGTGCCGCCCGTCGCCATCATGAACAATCAGAACCTGCAGAAAACCACCAAATGAACACTTACACAAACCTCACCTAAAGAAATGCATAACCCCAATCCACTTTCTCAGAAAACTCATATACACGGTGCAGCCACACAGCTTCTTGATGTGACAGTTTCATTTGAGGGGCTGAGGTTTGTTTGACCAGCTGCCAAGCAACATATAACACGCCACACTGAGCATGACAACTAGAGCCCGACCGATATATCACTTTGCCGATTTTATCGCATTTTATCAAATGAAGACAAAAATGTTCCTTTTCTGGTTGTCATACACTCATTAAGTTACAATTTTCATCTGCTCAAGCAGAACATTAATGTCATCTTGTGCTTCAGCAAAGTACCTCTGGCTAACACTAGCTAACGTTAAAGTTAGTGAGTCCATGCTATTACAAACCTAAATAGCAAACTGTTCTCACATCATGTACAGTGTAGGTCAAAAACACATAAACGAAGGTCTACATTTTCAGTGCCTCTCCATAATAAACTGGTTAAATGTACATTAATTTAATCGCACCCTGCGATACATGAACAGTGTTGATCCGGGATGTTGTTATCTGCGATCGTGACGGCTATAAGATGAGACTTCTCCTGTTTGTATTGTGATCTGCAAACCCTCACGTTGAGTTACCCACCATATTTATTTTAAAGGGGTTATATGATGCGATTTCAAGTTTTCCTTTCTCTTTGTGTGTGTGTGTGTGAGAGTGTGTGTGTGTGTGTGTGAGTGTGTGTGTGAGAGTGAGTGTGAGTGTGTGTGTGTGAGTGTGAGTGTGTGTGTGTGTGTGAGTGTGTGTGAGAGAGAGAGAGAGAGAGTGTGTGTGTGTGTGTGTGTGTGTGTCACGCGACTCTATTGCCCTTTCAGGCTTGAACTGATGGTAAAACTAACGACATTATTAACTGTCTTGATATTTACTTTGAAAGCTGATGCTCGCGATTATGGTAAGGGGCGTTACATTTCCGACGCGTGCTTGTGGTGTTCGGCCAATCACAATGCACTGGGTCAGCTGGCCAAAATTGTGCAAAAACATCGTGGGACAAGGTTTTCACACTGACAGCTGTCATTGTAAGAGAGTGAGCAGCTCCGTCTGTTTGTCCGAGGGAGCAACAGTAACTGGGCGGGGCAGGGCTTACCGATAGTTCAATTGAATTTAAATAAAGTTGAACTTTACTGTTCAGTGCACTGATGTCAGATTAATTTTGGATAATAAAGTTTATTGTTAAATGCCCTGCCTCCATTACATATCTTTGACACGTCATTATAAGTGTTTGATCACCACATTTGAGTGTTCATTGCAAAAAAAAATGTATGTATATACAGTATATTCTGTTTAAGTATATACTGTATTCTATATATAGTATCAGTCAAAAGTTTGGACACACGAATGGGAAAGTGCCCAAACTTTTGACTGGTACTGTACTATAATATACACAAAGAATATCGGCAGATATATCGATATAATATCGTTATCGACCCCCCAAAAACCAATATAGGTCAGGCTCTATTGACAACATTAACTTGAAAAAACTGTAGATAAATGACAGACCTACACCACAGTATAAGTTCTTATAATATCCTAAAAAAATTACCATGGCAATACCATGGAGCAGTAATTGGAATACAATTGTATTTTGATAAGTATGGTACTGAATCCACTTACATCAGTGATCCTCAAATCTGGCTCCCGAGATCCACTTTCCTGCAGAAAGTTTAGCTCCAACCCTATAATCAAACAAACCTACCTGAGATTTTCTAATGATCCTGAAGACATTGATTAGCAAACTCAGGTGTGTTTGATTAGGGTAGAGCTAAACTCTGAAGGAAAGTGGATCTCGAGAGCCAGATTTGAGGATCACTACATGGTTCTCCAAAGGTACTAACGTTACCATGGTACGACCATAGTACGTGTATTAAAAAAACACATTACTATGGTTTATATCCAAAAAGAAGTTAGGCTAACGTTACTGTTACTTAAACGTAACTTACTTTTCAAAAAGACGTCTGTGCTCTTTGTTCTCCGAGAAATGTGCGCTGAGGTCTGGTTTTGGTCTTATAATCTGCTCGTTTGTGAGAGAAGAGTCCGTTAAAACGGTTAACCCGGTCAAACCGCTCAGTTACCCGGCTAACTGTCAACACTCGCTTCTCTCTTACATAGGCGCTTTCACCTGTGCAGGTGAAACTATGCTGAATAAGTTTAGAGTAACGTTAGTTTACGATATTACAAACCAACGGTTGTTATAAATTAAGTACAAGCTCCCTCACAGACATACAATCCTCGAGCATAATGACTGACAGAGACTTTAACAGACGCGTGAAAGCTTTTTGGTCTGTCACCATGGTTACCATGGTCACCTCTGGCACAAGCCTTGGAACTCTTAGTTCCCCGCGAAAACTCCCGGCTTAGAGAAACAAACCCAACACAGGGTCACAACAACTAAACCAAATATCCCACGTCTGATTAATATATTTATAATAAAGATAGGAGATTAGACGCTAAATCACACATTAGCTCAATAGTGTATTATTCTAGCTTGACATAGGACTTGGTGCTCTTAAACTCGTCCATCTGACACAAAGGCATCTGACCGGTGCATCATTCTCTCACATAATACGATCCACTTGGTCCACCTTCAAGCGTCCCAGATCCAATTGTCCCACTTAAAATGTTTTCCATAATAATAAAACGAGAGCAAAACTTTCACATTTGAGTGGTATTTCACTCCGAGATACGAAATATGCTGATATTTCTTGAAATAACTTTGCATGTCTTTAGTGAGGGAGCTAACTTAGCAAGCTAACAGAAGTTGAACGAGAAACAACTGAACGAGCACAGCTAACGTTAGCAGGCTGTTTTACTGAATAATCAGGAAACTAATTAAGGAATAAATTAAACGGAACACAATATGTCAACATGGTCTCTAAATGTAAATGTCTTGTATCAGAAATGCTTTAACGTTTGAAAATACAACTTTCATCTGAGATCCATTACTTTTTAATACATTTAATTCAAAAATAAAATAAAAAAGTCTTGAATAAGTTTGCTGAAACTTTGCTTAACCCACAGAAACTCCAAATAACTATTAATACTTTAAGTTAATTTTGCTTTCCTTTATCTGCAGTTTTTATATTGTAAAAAAAAAAATGTGGAAATACATAAACCTAAAAATAGCTCAATAAAATGTGTGCCTTCAACTCTTAAGCGCAAGAAAACTTTTGCTAATATTAGAATCTACAAAGACTACTTAACATATTATATAAAATATATTTTTGTTCGTAACCGTACTGTAACTTGTCAGTATTCCACTCTTCCAAACGAGCATTCAATTCGCATTTCCAATTATGTCCACTAGATGTCACTCTCGCGTGATTTGTCGTTCCATTTACAGTGAAAGTTTTAGCTTTAACCACAAGGTGGCAGAATAGGCTAAAGTGATAGTCTACTTCAAATACAAAGTGTAATATTTTACTCTGCTCTGCCTCATGCCGTTGCAAACCTGCATGACTTTCTTTCTTCTCTGGAACACAAAATAAGATATTTTGAAAATTGTTGTTTTGGTTCCCACTGACTTACTGTACGTACAAAAAAAAAATACAATGGAAGTCAATGGGAGCCAAAAGTGTTTTCATTTTTGGGCAGACTATCCCTTCATTAACACTGAAACTATCAATTTAATTTCAAATCAGAGCAGTATAAAAACACATTCTATTTATTTTTTAAAAAGGCCGTGGAATAAAGAAAAATTATAAGAATTATGTATAAAATAAAAAAACCCGCCATCATGCTCTCTTGGTCAAACTGCAAGATAAAATTGTGTGGAAAGCTTCGAGTTCACAAACATCTTTTTTTTGGTAACATTTTTATTTATATTTCCTCGAATGTATGTATGTACTTTATTTAAAGAAATTGTAAACTTCAAAAAATAAACCCTGTGTGCTGTTTGCATTAAAATAAACGATACAAAATATAATAGAGAAACATCCAGAAATGTAATGCATTAATTACAAAAATAAAATAAAGCAAAGAAGGGCCCTGTGGTTGAGATAGGGACACATTCACACCTTAAGCGTTCTGGATGTGTGGGCCACTGGACACAGTTTGGGAGAGAAGTAAATACATTCCACAATATTAGGAATAGAGACCTGGATCTACAGTATATGCAGTTCAGAGGTGTGGTTGAGATTTATGCTTCTTTCTTGAAATGTCTTTTTTTTCCTTTCTGTATTCATGCTGTAAAATGTCAATCCAAGCAAACAGGGGACTTCTGTTTTCCATCCTTTTTGCAAATATCATATAGTGTTCTTGTCAGCATACAAAAAAATGACAGCTTTACACCTTGACTTACTATGCACAAACCATTTTAATAAAACAAAAATAAAAAGGATAAAAGAGCACATGTAACAGAAAATGGCAGTCCGAGGAAGAGATACTTTATGTACAAGCCCTGAGGTATGTTCCCTCCTCAGAGAAATGTTTGTGTATGTTTGTGAAAGAGATTGAAGGAGGGAGAGACAGACAGACAGACATTAAAAGGACAAACAAGCGTGTAACTGAACAAGGCAATTCCTTGATCTAGAAGTGCAACTGTGCATCATTGTCTTTAACTGGAAAGGGAACATTTATAAACTTTACAAGCCTTTACAAACTGTACAAGTCCTATTATAGGAATAAAATGGCCAAAAGGTCCATATGTGCCTCTGAGCAAGCGTGGTCAGAGTTCAGAGGTTATCTGGGTGATATCGGGGCTGTGGAGAAGGAGGCAGAGTTTGGAGGCGAGTGGAAAGGAGAGGAGGGTGAGAGGCGTCGAGGGCTGCAAAGGTCCCCGTTGTGTAGTTTCCACAGCAACTCCTCGTTCTCCAAAGATAGCCGTTTGTTGACCTTTGACTCTTTCTGTAGGGTCTGTTGAAGCATGGCCTGCTCTGAGGAGAGCTGCCTAAAGTCAAACAAGGAAAAAACGTTTTCCACTTTGAAAATTGAATACACTGATATTATAAAGGAAATGCTATGCTGGATCCAAGAAATACACAAAAGAATTCTACTTACTTTGAAAGTGCAGCATGTTTGTCCATCCGAGCCTTGTAGTCCTCGTTCTCCTGCTGGACCTTCTTTAAACACTCTTGCAGTTTCAAATGATCATCAATCTGTAAACAACGTTAAAAACATGAATGTATTATTTATTCATCAAAAAGAAGCTATACCAATGGTAAACCCAAAGTTAAGTTAAAAATTACAGTTTTTGTCTTTATAGATTTCTCTGTGTAACGAGTTTAAATGTGGCAAGTTACAAAAATATTTTCTCTTTATTCTGCAGAACACAAAAGATATTTTATATTTATCATTGTTTTTGTGCATACAGTCAGTACACTGAAAAATAAAACTTGTAAGATTTACTTGATAAAATCTTTGTAACAATTTACACCAACACATTTTAAAGGGGTGCCATTATGCTTTTTGACTTTTTCAACTTTAGTTAGTCTGTAATGTTGCTGTTTGAGCATAAAAAAAGATCTGCAAAGTTACAAAAGCTCAAAGTCCACTTCAAAAGGAGATATTTTATTTAACAGAAATCACTTTTCAAAAACTACAATGAACGACTCATTTGGACTACAACGCATATTTTCCGGGATATCACAAAGATCGACGAATGGGACGAGACCTGGTTGAGCTGCACTTGAGAAGGCAACGAGTGTTATCACTGTGTCGGAGACACGCTAGCTTTCCCAAGGCAGACGAACTTAGAGTGTTTGCAATCATCCGATTGTGCCAATCACATCACACACTGGCCCAGCTAGCCAATCACAGCACATTTCGTATTTCAGAAGGCGGGCCTTCATTTGATACAGGAACTATTCGAGCCGTTCATGCCAGACTGGGGAGAGAGGTGTTGTAATAATGTAAAATATGTGAAAAATAATGTGTTTTTTTCGAACAACTTAGTATGAGAGCCTGTTCTAGTACACCCCCAAAACAAAATCAAGACTTTGTAAAAGAGCATAATAGGACCCCTTTAAGTAAATTTTACTGTTACTGCTCAGTACAATTTACCTGTTATTGTCGAATAAAATCTACATACTATTGAACTTAACGTTCATAAAGAAATTAAGTAAATATTACATAATTATATTTGATTTCACATATAGAATTAAGTCAAATTACCTAAGTAAATTTAACAAAGAATATAAGTAACTTTAGCTTGACCAGTAATAGTTTGAGTATTTTTTACTTAGTCAAGGCTCTCTGTGATTTTACTCAATATAGCACTGAATTAAACCACGCTTTTAAAGTTTTTTTTTTACTCAGAAACATCCAAGACACCATATCTACATAATTAATAATGCAGCACTCATCCGAACAGAGACTTCAATACTTGGTACACAATACACAATGACAGCAACATTCTGTTGACCGGTTTTTTTGAGTATAAAATGAATGTTACTAAACCTGACAACAAAAGCAATGATAAAACAGAGTGACTACAGCTGGAAAACAGCAATAAATAAATAATAACAAAATTAAACTTATTTATTATTCATGTCCCAGTTTATGTGAACACCAGTATCAGAAAAGCTGAGTAGGTTTTACTTAATTGGATAACATTGATATTTATGCTTTAATTTCTGCTTATAATGCCACGAGGAAGCTACAGGGGCATCTAACGCATATTTATTACATGTGTGCATATTCTCACCAGTTTGTCCATCTGCATGAGTTTCTTGTCTTGCTGGTGTATCTGGTTGGTCTTTATTTCCAGCACGGCTCTGAGACTCTCCAGCTCTTGTTCCAAAAACAGTGTGTGAGCGTCCTTCTGCACACAGAGAAAAAGGTGCTCAGTTTGTGTTTACGGCATCTGGGACTACAAAGAAATACATGGAGTATCTCTACGGGTCACAGGCTTGGTATGGGTCACAGTAACTAGATGGTCAATCAGATGTCCCACTAGCCCTCTTGAAACTACGGTTGGGGATGTCATTGTTGTTGACAAGCACACCAGAATAAGAACAGAAGAACCACACAAATGTAAAAATTTCTAATGGACTGCATTAGGACACAGTTCTTGGCGTCAGTGTTGTTATTTATAACTATTAACAGTCATTTTTGTTAATAGAAAAACAGCTGAACTACAATAACATGTAAATAATGCATTACATTTAAAAAATTAGAAATGCTGTCTAAGTGAAACTAAATTGAAGTACTAAAATTAATACAACTAAAATTGAAATAAAAATAAATAAGCCTAACAGAAATATTAAAAAAGTAATAAATGACAAAAAACCATAATGAAATTACTAAAACTGAAAATATGACAATACAAGTCAAAATATTAATAATTATAATAGTGTATTAGCATTAGTTTTGGGGCTTGACATAAAATAGTGAAAAAATTATTTAAATTCAATTACACTAACTGTAAACCAGCAATGTGGTTATACTGTGAATAATACAGATTACTGCAAAAGCATTACAAATTTTACCTGACTTTTGTCTGCCAGAGCTCTCCTCCATTCCTCCTCTTCTCTCAGTCTTTCTTTCAAAGCCTCGTTTTCTGCTGTCAAAGTCTGAATTTTCTCCTGTAGGGGAGAGAAAGTGATTAAATAAACAATTACCAAAAAGCATATACACATTATTTTCAATTTGCAAATTAAGCATACTATGAATACTATACATTTTAAAGATTAAAAGTAAGTTAATTCATATTTGCATGTTAAGACGGCGATGCATACATTGAGCATGGCTTCAGACTCCTTGAGTGTTTTATCAAGTTCTTCCATGTCCTGTTCATGAGTCTTCCTGAGCTCTGGAAAATGAAAAAAAAAATTGATAGATTTTCCTCATCTGACAGAAAGATTAGATCAAAATCTAAATACATTACATGTAATGAAAGGATAAACAATAAGCCTTTTGATGAGTGAAATTACCTGCAAGTGAAGTCTCATGTGCCTGTTTCAGTGTTGCTATCTGCTGAGTGTGTGCCACTTCCTGTTGGCTCCTCAGTGCTTCCTGTTTGCTCCTCACATCCTCCACCTGTCAGTGGAAACCATACTCATCTTCATCAAACAATAAATGTACTTTATTTTTTGCTCAAGTTGCACTGGTTGGTATTGCAGGGCAGATGCACCATCACGTAAAAAATGTTTTTAGTTACTGATGCCATTTATTCACAGTCAAAACAATTATAAATTAATGAATTTAAAAAGACAAACATTAAACAAAAAAAAAAACGGTTCACACATTCAGAAAATGCGCTCACAATAAACCAGACGTAATATTGCGTGATTAGAGCCCATTTAACATGATTACATGACACATGATTTCTGTGTGTTGTAAGCAGAAGCAAGCCCAGGTAAGATCCTACCTGCTGCTGCATGAGCGCCCTGCATTTATCCGCCTCTCTCTGATAGGCCTCGTGGGTTTTGTCCCATTCTGCAGAGTAGAAGTCCTTCAGCCGCTCCTCCAGCTGCTGTAGTTCTGTCTGATGCTGCTCCTGTAGTTTCTGAAACAATGCCTCCAAAGTTACACGCACCTCCTCCTTCTCTCTCTCCAGCTGTTCACAACACGAGACAGAGTTACCTGGGAATTAAGTGATAGAGAGGAGCATGTTAGGAAGAAGATGATTCTTGAACCTGTGGTCCTGACCTTCAGAACTCTCAAGAGTTACATAAACTTGGCTTTGTCTTAGTGCTTGGTCTGGATCTAAGTCTTGGATTCAACTACTCCATATCTAACATACTGTGGCTACTTGAATTAATGCTGGAATAGATTATCTTTTGTTTACAACAATATTTTTTGGACAGGCCTTGGTCTGAATTAGGGTTTTGAAGAATTTGGTATTAGTCTTGATAGAAACTTGAACAGATTCTCAAAACCATCAGTACATTCTAGATTTTATTAAATTTTTTAGATTGTGACTATTGTACGGCAAATAATTTTTTTTATTGAATCTAGAATGTTCAGATGGTTCAGACAAAACAATATAGAATCCACCAGTTGGCCAATTTTCTAAAGAGTCAGTAAAATCCACAATAGAACCTACAATGTACTGGTGGTAAAATTCCTTAAGTTGTCAGAATTCTATTCTAGATTCTACGGACTCTTCCGCGAATTAAAAATGTAGAAATCTAGAAACTTTTGATGGTCAATTCTCTAAAGAGCCAGTAGAATATAACACAAAATCTAGAATGAACCATGGGTTTAATTCGGCAAAGAGAATACAAAATAGAATTAACCTAGTGTAAATTGCAACAGAAGAACATTTCTAAAAGTTAAAAATACTGAAAATTGTTTTTTTTTTACTGAAATAAAGATTAAATAAAATAATAAAAAAACAATAGAACAGAAATGTTCTAGACATTTCTAGAAAAAAATTGAAATGTAGAATAGAACTGTACTAGAAATGAAATAAAATAAGTTTTAAGTTGAAGTAATAAAATTACTAAAAATAAATTAAAGCTAAAAAGAAATATAAAAAATAGTAATAAAAATAAAACAGCACATAACAAAAATCCCAGAACTTTAAAATTAAAATAATGAAAACTGAAAATATAAAAATAAAAGCTAATTCAAAATATGAATTAATTCCATAATAATAATTAATTATAATTGTGTGTGTGTATATATATATTATTCAGCCAGTATAATCTGGAACATGCTGATGTTTAATTCCCAATAGAATCTAGAATTTAACAAATTTAATTAGCTAAATATTCTGTAAAATCAAGATTTGAATCTAGAACATACTGTATTAAGAATTCTATTCTTTAAAAAATTGAATTATCAGTACATTTACATTAAAATGACAATTACAAATTCTGCGGAGTGCAGTTAGGATTCCTCTCAAATTTTCAATGGACATTTAAGCCTAGCATGCATGTGTTTCTGAAGCCTCAGGATAACTATTTCTTTGAATTCTGTGAGGACTGAACCAGCAGCACAGTGTAATTTGGCCAACTGCACCTTCAGACTTGCATACAGGAGCCAGTGTGAGTGAAACAAAGGCTATGACAGTGTGTAAGGCCAGACTAATTAAACATAACAAGCTGCACAACCCTAACGTTCTACAGCATTAGAAATGTGTGTGCCCAAGCTTGCCAAGAATGTGTGTGTATTTGTGTTCAAGGTACGAATGGATTGAGGAGTCGTATTTTGTTGCTAACACATACAAATAAATACACCAACTCCAAACACAATAAAAGGCAGTCAAACGTCTACAGGGCGTAATAAAACAGGTGGAATGTGATTGTCGTGTGGTTGTTAACATCGGTTTCCCAATTTCCAAACAATGAGCTGTACACTTCCATCAATACGATGCTCATCAGAACAGAGAATTCAATAGGATAAAACATGAAACAGCCTCACTCTGGAATGTAGAGAATAATATCATCTAAGAACAAATATGTGACTGGCAATTCACAGCAAGGTAATAAAGCTTCAAACACAAGCTAAGTGGTGTTAATGATAATATAGACAAAGAAATAATACATAGATCACTAGAATTTAACATTCTCTAAAGAAGAGTTGAGTGAATACGGCTAAATACGGCTTGGGTAAATAATCCGTAAGAAGAAGAAAAAAAAACGTGCTAAAACAAATTCTGCAATTCTAACTAGGTGTGACCCCGAAACTAGACATTCACACAGACCTATTTTGAAACAGCCTCACTCTGGAATGTAGAGAATAATATCATCTAAGAACAAATATGTGACTGGCAATTCACAGCAAGGTAATAAAGCTTCAAACACAAGCTAAGTGGTGTTAATGATAATATAGACAAAGAAATAATACATAGATCACTAGAATTTAACATTCTCTAAAGAAGAGTTGAGTGAATACGGCTAAATACGGCTTGGGTAAATAATCCGTAAGAAGAAGAAAAAAAACGTGCTAAAACAAATTCTGCAATTCTAACTAGGTGTGACCCCGAAACTAGACATTCACACAGACCTATTTGATCAGAACTGTGCCCTTGAGCAAGGCAGTTATTCCAAGGTTTCTCACAGAGACTTTCCCTACAATTAGTGTTTTTTCAAGTCACTCTGAATAAAAGCACCTGTTAGATGACAGCTATCTAACCAAGATGAAAGCTTACGGTCTGTGAGCCTTGAAAAGGGACATAATAACCAAGTCTCTGTGTGTGACTGGACATGTGTTGCTTACCCAGTTGCTCTCGCAGGTTGTTGATTTGGACAGAAAGTTCTTCCCTCTGTTTGACTGCCACCTCACGCTATAATAAATGTCAGAAGAAACAAAACCAAAAATTAGTCACTCAAACAAATTAAGAAAGTGTAAAAGCATAGCTGGCAATAAAATGTCTAACATAAAGAAAGATTTTAGGTAAAAGAATATGTGACCCTGGACCACAAAACCAGTAATATGGGTCAATTTTTTAAAATTGAGATGTATACATCATGTGAAAGCTGAATACATAAGCTTCCCATTGATGTATGGTTTATTATGATATCATTCATTGCCAAGTAAATTACACTGTCAAGGTCCAGAAAAGTATGAAAGACATCGTAGAATCGTCCATCTGCCATCAGTGGTTCAACCGTACCGTTATGAAGCGACGAGAATACTTTTTGTACGCGAAGAAACCAAAAATAAGGACTTTATTCAACAATTTGTCTCCTCTGTGTCTCTCCGCATCACCATTTTGGAGAATATCCGCTGAACGCAAGCAGCGTACGCTATTCTGTGTCAGCCGCGCTGCACGGATGCGCTGTTTTCGTTCAAATCAAAGTGTAAATACACGTAGAAAACATATCCTTGTGTCACGGCTGACACAGAAGAGCGTACGCTGTTTGCATTCAGTGGTTATTCTCCAAAATGGCACTACGGGGATGCGGAGAGACACAGAGGAGACAAATTGTTGAATAAAGTCTTTAATTTAGTTTTCTTCACGTACAAAAAGTATTCTCGTCGTTTCATAACGTTATGGTTGAACAACTGATGGCAGATGGACTATTCTGACGATGTCTTTCATACTTTTCTGGACCTTGACAGTGTAATTTACTTGGCA